GATCTGGTTGAACTGTAAAGTGCCTTGAGATGACATGTGTTGTGAATTGGTGCTATAGAAATAAACTGAATTTAATTGAATAAGATTGAGTCCCAGTGTAATTAAATAACGTTCATGCTTCAAAGAAACCCAGCTTTATCTGAACCAGGCCCAGATAATAATACTGCCCCCCTCTTACTTATAGAAAAAAACATTTTTAGGCATTTATAGGCAACAAAATCCTAGACTTACCAGATGCTTTAGTCTAACTTTACCAACACGCACTGGTCTGCCTCATAAAGTGTTGATTTATCACTCCCTTCACCCCCAATCAAAACTTTGACCCTCTTCATGGATTTATAAGGTGGTAAGATTGTAGCTCTAATCTAATGAGATGAATTTAAAATCCCAGCAGAATGTTTTCCTTAGAAAGGCTTAAAAAACTTGTAATGATTGTTATTTTTTAATTTCATTTTTGGCCAGGAGGAAAAAGGAGGATAGAGTTGTCATTATATCCCTCCTGCTGGTGCCAAAAGCCTGAAGTTAACCTGTGCCTTCTTATTTTCTGCAAACACAGTGTCCTCCCTCCTCTCCTGGCTCCCCGGTGACAAAGTTCTTCTCTTGTTGAGCCTCTTCAGCTGATCTAATCTGCTTTGCTTTCCTTTGACCTTTCCATCTGCCAGCAGCACCATGTGCTCACCAGCACAGCTTTCTGACAATGTGATGAACCCCGTCTCCTTCAGCCGGGCACATATTGTCTCAGCTGCTCTTATCAGATAATCGCACGGCTTCTGACAGACTGGTTACCATGTAAGATCGTCAAGGTCGCCTGGGAGAGGGCGAAAGTTATTTCAGAACAGAAATGATTCACTTGCCTCCTTGAAAAGGTGACTCAGCGACGTGTTTGTACGTTCAGCCTGGCAGCTTCACGCTGCGGATCCCTGGCACTCTGATACATTGGCGGAAACAAAAACACACAGAGGAAGGACGCGTACCTCACAGCGGTAGCACTGCACGTGGAAGTCACGATCCAGGGCCACGATACGGACCGTCTCCTCCTGGCCCGGTGCCGGCATTATGGGCTCATGGCACACACAGCAGCGTGGAGCAAACTTCCTGTGAGAAACACAGCAGAGATGGAGCTCAGAGCAGAGGCAGAAAATGCAGCACAAACTTCAACTCACAGTACGATCAGAAACTAAAGGGAATTTATTGGTATTTTATTTTACAGATAATCACATCAGTGTCTAATTATAAACTGGAAGGAATGTTCTAAATGGCTTTAAACAGTTTTTTTTTTTTAAATCTATTCTCTTAAAAGGGTGAACTGAGCAGTACCCAGGTCAAACTTTACTTATCCTCATAAACTAAAACAATTACCGTAGTTTTCGTAATATTAGCCGCACCTGAATATAAGCCGCAGAAGCTAAATTGCATGATTTGTACATATATATAGAAGCTGCACCGGACTATAAGCCGCAGGTTTTTTATGTTTAATGTCCGTCTTTCTCGCTGTCGTTCTGTCTCGTACCACTCGCGGTAGAAGTTTCCGGAGGACCTCCGCATTCCCGTGCGTGGCTACCATATTTGTGTGTAGAAGCGAATGTGACGTCAACATGGTGAATGGTAAAATCCATAGATTTAGGTATTACGCTAGTAGCTGTTAGCTGTAAAAGTCCATAGATAAGCCGCATTGTTATATAAGCCGCAAGGTCGAAAAATGGGGAAAAAGTCGTGGCTTATAGTCCGAAAATTACGGTAGTTCTGTTTCTACTGAACCAAAACTAAAAATTTCTCAAACCTCTTTCACCAATGAAACTATATGGAAAAATTCCCAGAAATCAGATCAAACACAGCGGGAGTTTTCTCCCCATCACATCAGGTCAGTAACTGTAAAACATTAGGGATTTACTACATTTACAATACCTATCTATCAAATGAGACTGCACACAACTAACCATGGAGATTTCCACAGTAATGAGGATCTGAAAAAAAAAAAACAGGCTGAGCTTTTAGGTCCTGCTCAGTGACCAGAAATCTGGTTTTGGTACTTCCTCTAATCCGGATCCTTATTCACTATGTGTGAGTCAGGAAGTAAAAGGCTGCGTGTGGCTCTGGGGAACCACGGCCTTGCTTTTTCAGCACGGGCCACAGCTTGTAAATTCCTAGAAACAAAGGCCCGACTGCTGAGGTCACACGTGCCATGTGGAATTACACAGCAGGCCCCAAGCGGATGTGCCACATTGTGCACAAACACACACACACACACACACACTGAGAGCCAGCAGTTTCCTTCTGTTTCCCTTCTGGTCAGTGAGCAGAGGAACATTTCTGGTAAAACGATGCTTACGAAACCCCTGATGTCTGATTCAATAACAGGAACGCATCATTTATCGTATGGCCACATCTCAGGATTTACTCTGATTCCTCAAAATGTTGACAGTAATTCCCATCAAGGAAGTCTTCAGATCCTGTATCAGCAGCTCAAAAAACACAGTTTGCTCTCCAGTGCGGCAGGTTGGAACATTGCAACGAGTCGAGTTTAACCAGTTTATTGCAAGAAAATAACCTGTAGGCCCAAAAACGTCCAACAGAGAGACCAGGATGGACCTTCAGGTTGTCCTCCAACAGTCTTACCACTAGCCAAAAAGTATTTTGATACGTTTTTAGATTAATTTACTGAACAAAAGCAGATTATTTAGATGACATTCTTTTGAGAAGAATCTACTCAAACATAAATGCAATAATCTGCCAGTGCAGTAAGACAAACTGCTCATTTAGACATTATCGATGATTATTTCAAGGAGTCTTACTAAATATAATTATCTTTCTGCACAAGAAGATTACTGCTTTAATTTTCAGAGGCAGAGGTGTCAAGTAACGAAGTACAAATACTTCGTTACTGTGCTTCAGTACACTTTTTAGGTATCTATACTTCACTCTATTACTTATTTTTCTTCCTACTTCTGACTTCTAGAAATTACAGAAGTATCTGTAATTTCTATTCCTTACATTTTTAAAACAAAAGTTACTGATTACTCTTGGCTTCGGTTTAATGGTTATAAATATATATTTCACATCATGTGCACCATCCAATGCAGATTATTGGATCCATCCACATCTAGTGAACACTAGTGTAATTGAATGAGTCATAGAACGCAAACACTCATTGGTTAGATAAAGGAAATCATTAGAAGCAAGCAGGTGTTCTTCAAACTGCAAAGGTGAATTGTCTATGCCATGCTACAATGTTGGATTCAGAAAAACATGGTGAAATGTCTAACAGGTCAAGGTCAGACGGAGACCAACAAGACCTCCCTCATCCTTGGCCCTATCTCAAAGAATTTTTCCAAATAGTCGAAAAATTTAGCTTTCAATTCATATGGTGGCATCTGGCTGTTTTTTTTTTTTTTAAGGTTAATTTATACTTTTATACTTTAAGTAGTTTTTGGAGCACATACTTTTTCACTTTTACTTGAGTTAAGAGGTCAAGCTGATATTACAACTTTTACCTTTTACTCAAGTAATTTAATTGTAATTTTTCCAGTGTATTGCTGCATTCTGGTTACTCTATTCACTCTGAGGAATTTAAGCTATTTGAAGAACATTTGAAAACACAGTAAAGAGTAGATAATGTTGCTTTAAGTTATTTGTTTTTACCCACCGTTAGTTTTGTTTATAAGCTCAAAATGATTTAAAAAAATATTTTATTTGCACGAATTATTTTGCAATCATGTCATTCATTTGTATTTCTTATTTTGAGATGCAATGACTGACAGTCTGATTACATAACTATAAACAATAAATCACGTTATTAACAAACAATCAGTACTCGATGGGCCGTTTTGCTTAGTATGTTATTTCAAGGGTGACAACTTTATACTTCTAGCTTAGTAAAAAAAAAAATTTAAAAGAAGTGCTTTTGAGTCAAATGTTTGGGTAGTCCATCCAGATCAGATCAGAATCTATTCTTGCATAGTGCATCAATCTCAAAACAAATATAAAAGATTTTCAGATTAGATCAAAGATTGTAAGACTTGGATAGATGGAGAGTTAATGCAGTGTATGATAAAGGTATTCAAAACACATATCTTCTGTCCATACAGCAAGATCCTTTAATCAGCGCTGTCTAGAAACGGGGAAATTGGGCTTCTGGACTGAAGAATTATTAAAAAATGATGAATGCTTTTATTACCGTGCGCTTAGATTACTGTAACTCATTATAAAAAAAACATGGACCAATTCTCTGTATAGCTTCTCCAAACGATTCAGAACATTGCAGCTTGACTCCTCACTGCAACCCAGAAATGTGAACATGTAACTCCAGTAATGCCTTCTCTGCCTGCATCTTATCTGATCAATTTTAATATATATATATATATATATTTTTTTTACATTTTAATATTTAAATGGCTTCGCTCCCTGCTTACCTTGAGATCTTTTGCAGGGCTGCTCTATTTCCAGAACACTACTATCAAACAAACCACTACAAGTTCCCAGAACCATATTTAAAAGTAGAGCAGAGCTAACATTGCTGTTACTGCACTTAATATGTTGAACAGCTTAATCCACAACGTGGATTGATTAATTGATTGATTGATTGATTAAATGGTTCAAAAAAAAAAGATCTGCTTCCAATTTGGATAATTAAAAAAAAGTCTGTCCTATTTGTTTTTATCTTTATTTTCAATTTAAATGTGCTTAAATGGTTTTCAGAAACCTGTACAACTCTGTGGTGCGTTTACAAGCTGTTCTAAAGTGCTTTATATATAAAACTGACATCATTTCACATTGGTCTTTGGTTTTAGTTTTCTAAACCATCAGAGCACCATCTTCCCCAGACCTTCTGAAAGAACCGTCTGCCTGGCTTTGTGAAAAACTGTGGCTCTGTTGTGTCAACTGTTCCATCAAAAACCGATTGTTGGGGCGGATCAATAAAATCTCTACCATGAATAGATTCTCTCATTGACACCATCATTACTTTTTCCTCCTCGAACTCCAGACCAGTTCCCTGGTCTTTATGGTGCTCTTTATCTACTAATGTTGGCTAAAAAAGCTCTGAGCCCTTACATGATCACATAAGTCTAAATTCCACACTGCAGGCAGATTTTATTCAGGGGTATCAGTGTAAAGGGGGACGTAAACTGAAATAGAAAATGTAGAAAAGCTTAAAAGGACTGAATAGTTGTAGGAAAGCTGATTTAGGAGGTTTACTTGTGGAAGTCCTCGATGCAGTGGATGTGGTTGGAGGCGTCCACGGTGAAAGGGATGCCGTCCAGGCTGCGGTGACACACCACGCAGGTGAAGCAGTGCGGGTGGTAGGCCTTCCCCGTGGCCCGCAGGATGCGCTCCATGATCGGCTTGCTGCAGCTGTTGCAGGTCTCCAGAGTGTTCTGCAAACAATACAAACGTGATTATGCAGTGAAAACCTGTAAAAGCTTTAAAGAGCAGCTGACGGGTTTTTAGTTAGTTGGCTTCCTCTACTGTGGAACAAACATTTCCACCATGGAGACCTTCAGCTGATCTGGACTTAAAAGCCTCTGAAGCTGAAACACAAACACAGCCATTTTTCAGCCGCCGTCTCCCACACTCCATCCTGCCTTATGCAAGAGCGAGCGCTGTAAATATTTCCAATTTGTGATGACTGCAGGTTTTCTGCAGCCAGCCGACTCGGGCAGACACGCCCGCCGCCCGCCTCTGACTTATCTGTGGCATCTCTCTTCTTAATATCTGCCCACAGAGGCCATTTGTTATTTCAATATTTCATAAATAACGACTGGCTCTCCAAACGGCAGCGCTGTTATATCATGGGAGGGTGATCAATGTGTGGCCTGATGAGGCTGTGTGTGAGCTGATGTCGCAGCCTCTGGCTCAGGCATTTCCTGGATCTCTGCACCCCCGCCTTCCTCCTCCCCCCCGTCTGTGCGCTTGGCTGGGCAAAAGAGTGCACGGTTGAGTTGTTCCCATTGGCCCCCGCTGTAGCAGCAAGCTGCCTCAGTGTTTCCAAACACGGCTCCGGGTGTGTAGCAACACTGCGCTGCGTCACGCGCTGCCTCCCAGATGCGCCGGCGGGCCCCTGCCGTTTAGGATGACACTTATGTGACCGCTCGGCCGGGGTAAAGCTCCCAGCCGTCCTCCCCGCTCAGGCTGCGTCTCACACGCACTGACATTTATAGTTTACATGCTAATGAGTGGGGAACGCTCCCCCCTTTATGCCCAGAATGTCCCAGCTGCTTCGTAAACCGGCTCATGATATCATAGTTGCAACATGACGGCGTGGAGGGAGGGCGGGCGGCAGCTGATGGACGACCCGAGGCTGCAGAGGAAAGTGGTTTGAAAAATGTCCGTTTCTTCAAAGCACTCCTGGAGAGGCTGTATTTCATGAAAAGCAATGTGAGTAGACAACCCCTCTACCCCCCCCTCCGCCTTCCTCCTCCTTCTCTGCCTCCAAGATGGTAATAGAAATAAACATTATTCCCAGGGCAACATTTGTGTGTAAACAATGTCCATATTGCAATCCTGCGCGATCCTGGAAGTGGAATAAAGCCTTTAATGAGCTCGCTGCTCCGAACCCTTGAGGTTTGCCTCACGCATACACAGACTCTGAGGTAGAGAGATGGAGGGGATGGATGCATGGATGGAGGGATGGGGGGGGGGTATATTTACAACCTGAGAATGTGAGTAAGATACCAGGGCCAAGCAGCACTAAACCATCCTCAACTCGTCTGTCTGCATTCCTGCTTCCTTATTCTCATCTGGCCTTCATGTGGGAATACCTTGCCCTTGTTTAGCTTAACTAGAGCATATGATTTCACAGCACACGGATCCTCCGGGCCACTGTAATGAGTTCGCTACTAAAAAGATACAAAAAAAAATTTCCTCTGATGGTGAGATTCTATGACCTCAATTCGCTCGTTTTTTTATTTTATTTTTTTTCCTTCTTTCTGCTCAGCTACTGTTGTTCTGGCTTTGGCTCGTGACTCGTCTTGTTTTGGGTTAGGTAACGTTTATTTGCTCTGTTACACAAACTAAACCCCACCCCCACTTCACCCCGACTATGATGTCAAAACGGAGGAACATGCACGTGCTCCCGGCCTTTTTGGCCCGGGCTCCACTTCCACTCACGGTCTGAGTGCCTCTGCATAAATCAGTCCGTGCCCTCTCGTTCACACGTCCTCGTCCCTCTGCCGTCTGCCACTAGAGGGCTGCATACGTCTACACATGTCCGGATGGCTGCTCCCCCCCCCCACTACATGTGATGTTCTCCAGCATATGTATTCTCTTTTCCACCCCCAATCCCTTCCACCTCTCTCTCCTTCATACATTTGTGTAAGTGTTTGCCCAGAAGGCTAAACAAATGTCTAGGCAGATGAGGTAAAGTGAATTTAGGTCAGCCAGCCTCACGCTCAACCCAGGGGTGAGTGAAGTGCGTTAAAGTCAATTGTGGCTTGTATTTTTGATTTCATCTTCTCCCTATTGCTCAAAAGTATTTATTAACAGGTTGCAGGATGGAGTTCGGCACAGAAGACTGTTTAGTTCAGGAACAGGATTAAAGTGTGTTAAACAGTTGTATTCGTATACTGATTGCTTACTAATTGCCATCGAGTTATTAGTTTATTTGTTTTCACTGAATATCAGACATAGCTGTTACTTAATCATTCCTAACTGTTTCAGATCAAATGGATTTAAAAGACGAGCAGAGTAAATGCAGAGAAGTCTTTAAATGTTGATTTAATTTATCAGGAGGGAAACAGACCGGCCTTAGCGCTGCCTTATGTGGAGAAGTCATCCACATGCAGAAGTGGGTAGAGTACCCAAAAATTGTACTCTAGCAAGTATCGCATTACTCCATTGTATTTTTACTAAAGTAAAAGTTCCAAGAAATTACTAAAGTCAGAGACAATAAGGTAACTAAAGTGCAGAGTAACGGTTAACATCTATTTAATAATAATGTAATAAAGATAAGTGAAGCAACCATCTCTGGTATTTTATTTGCTATAAGGAAATATTAACCCTTTAAAGCCTGATCCAAGAATAAAACAAAACAGAAAATTACTTTTTTTTGGGTCTGAATTCCTTATTTGGCCTTTTAACAAAATATGTAAAAAGAAAAAACAGAAATACATTTTTGATATTAATAATTTATTACAATGCGATAAGTCAAGATTATTTTTTGTGTAGCCTTCTACTGGCTGTTATCAGGTATATCTGATTGTGTAAAATAGGATTTTGAGCAAAGTTTTTACCATTAAATTATGCAAAAGGTGTCAGATGCAAAACATTTCAGAAACCGTATGTATCAAATACGATACATTTGGCATTATAGGGTTAAAAACGGACAAATAATGTGACAAAAAAGACAAATCCCGGCAAAAAAAAACCAAATTTCTTTCTTTAATCCCCAGTGACAAATTTGACTCCTGACTGTATATTAGCTTGACCTCCCAACGTCATAGTAGGTGACCGATATGACTGGTAACCATTGACAGGTCAGCAATGGCAGCCCTTCCTATGATTCCGCACCACTGAATCAGCTCTAAAAAGATTGGTGACCCCTGATATAAAGTTATATGCAAATTATAAGCAATGTTTTGGATATAAAACTTACTAAATCAATACTAACACTATGTTATGCTTTTAGATAGGGATAAGTTACTTCCAGTAACTACATGAAGGAAAGAAGAAAGGTCAAAGAGCTTTTTTTTCACTTAACCTCCAAATAATGGGGCTCAAAACAAACATCAATTTACAAGAAATATATCAATATGGATATAAAAAAATGACATGTGCTAAACTGTTGCAGTTGCAACCCTTAGCAAAGGAAATCCGTGCCAAAGATAAAGATTTTGATCGTTTAGTGAGATACTGCTGGCAAGCACAGCTGTTGACTTAAGCTTGTAAGTGATGACTGAAATCAGTACAGGAATTTAACTTGCCTTGTCTTCACAGATTAATAAAACAACCATTACGCAAAGTAAAAATGGATTAATATTGCTGTAATTTGAAGTAAAAAGGTTAGTAATTTACTGGTCAGATAGGGTTGGGTTGGTTTGAACTGCTTGGTTCCTTTAATGAGGTAATTTGAAGACTGACTTTTTTAAAATCTTGGCTCTCTCCTTTGAGGAATAAGACCAACCTTTCTTGAATATTTTTGTTACTTTATTAGCAGATATGATTTAAAAAAGCAAAAAAAAAGGGGGATAAAATGTTTAATGCTTAAAAAACAAAAACAAAAGAAAAACAGCATGTACATCAATTAAGGATCAGAAATCCAGCCACATTCAGAATCTGCCAATTTCCCTTTGGCAAACCTGGGTTACCATCTACAGTCTATAAACGCATGTATTCCTATGAACAATCTACCTCTAATCAAAGAATCTGGACCATTTTGTTTTTTTTTTCTTATTAATGTCTTATATTTTGTACAAAATGAAATTCAGAGAAAATAGGAATTAGAGCTTAAAAACAAACAAAAGTCGGTAGCGGCCAGGGAAAACTTGATTGGGCCGTGGCTCTCAGACCTATAAAAGATTCTTGATATATAGCATTCAGTTTCCACATGTCTGAGAAGTAGAGCCTAATTAATAAAAAAAACATGGGTGAAAAAAGATGCTGAAAATATGATTGAATCTTTAAAAAGCAAACCAAAACAAAAGTTAGCAATAAAAAATGTATTCCTACTCTATTATAAGAAGCTCAGAGGAGAAATCAGACCACAGTCAATAAAACCAGGCCTGAACTGAAGATTTCAGCATGTTTCCAACCTAAAAAGGAAACACTTGGGAATGTGACAGACCATATTGCTGAGATTAAGCTACTTGCAGTCTCTGCCAACACTATCAACACAGATTTTACACCTATCCAATCCTTTTTTTTCCTACACAACCAAGTCGGACCGACAGGAGGCCGGCCGGAGAGCAGCGAGAATGCACGCAATTTATTTTCTAGCACGCTGAACATAGAGCGTGAAAACCAAGTACACCATAATGAACATGGGTCTGATAAAAGAAGGAGCTCTGCTGCTGTTCGGCTTTCTCTGCAGAGAACAGACACTGACTTCTTGGTGAACTGTGAGTCAAAACACTGACCCTCTTAGTTCCTGAGGGAAGGTGTCTGCTGATTTAACAAACCCTGACAAGCAGCTTCTCTCCCTTTTATTGTTTAATGTGGGCCAATCTAGCAGGACAAACAGAAATCCTGCATCCAAAAACCATCATGAGCTAATTACAAACCATGGCAGCCTCTAACATGACAGGTAGCTTCATAAGCCTGCCAGGTGCTGAGAAGGAAGAGAGGCAGGAACAAGACAAGATGCTCCAAATCAGGAACATCAGCCCATCCAGATAGAGCCGGTATACCGGAAAAGTAATTTCACCTCTATCCTTTATAAAGA